TACGCTTCCGCGTCACGTGACTGTCTCGACTCACGTGCGACAAGGAGGTCCAGCGCGACGCGTCAGACAAAGACAGAGATAGTCAAATTAAGAAAAATTACCCCTTTACATAAATTACGATATCTCGAAAACGGTAAGTCCGATCGTCAAAAACCAAAAACCGGTTTAAAGGGGAGGCCTTGCCGCTTCTAACAATACCTTAATAATTAATATATCCCTAGTAGTTTCGGAACTACACGCGTCCAAAGTTTTAGTATTTTTAATACGCGTTATTAGACTGTCTTAAGACAATGGAAACTGAATACTGGACTATAATACAGGGGGTTCGGCCACTCCTGGGAAAATTTTAATGGGAGATTCTAGAGGCCAAAATAAAACGCCCGATCGTTATAGACAAAAGAGACTACATATTTTTCTCAGAAAACAAACAATAAGAATAGAAGTGAATATTGAAAAATTCATTGTACGTATGCTATATGAAAAATCGTGGTAGGTTTAGACTCGATTCAACGTACACCTACAGGACGCGCATATTTGTATACTTTCTGCATTTAAAAGAAAAATATTGCACACTGTTAAGCAGATGGAAACAGTAAATTTTTTCAATTTTGCTAATTGCATCGGAACCATGAACAATTTCTGTTTCCTATTTGAACCTTTAACCCACAGATTTCGAATAGGAAAATGAATGTCCCGTGTGATTAATTACGAAACTAAACGGCCACGATGCAGTTTGAAATTACATCCCACTTTACAATGACCGTGCTCGAACCGGGGTATTCGTCCACTTCGATTTTCTTTTTTACCATCAATTTACAGAGGGAAAAGAAAGAGATCGTCGGTGATCCATCATCGTTAGGATTTCATTCAACGACAGTCGTTCGGCCGGAAGCTGCCGTCGACTTCTAAAGCTGTGTAAACTGGGTGAACAAACCAACGTTTTATGGTCGTTCAATAGTACCATCGTCTTCGCCATGCTCCAGCGCGCGTTTGCTTGCATATCAATGCATACACACTCGAGTTTACGTTATAAAACAGACGACGTGTGTTTGACAGGTTGCATTCTTGGTCGGTCCGCGGCAACTGTATATTTATTTTATTTTATTTCAGTTTTATTTACGAGTTTCGAAGATATTCTCGTGCACAAAATATGTGCAACATCGAACGGAGTTTATTTACATTGGTCGTTGAATTAATAGCGTGTCAACGATTTATATGCAGCGTGGTTTCGAACACCTTAAAGAGATTTCTCTAACACTAATTTCTAGACAAGTAATTGGATGTTTCTTCCCACTAATATAAAAGTATTGAACTTGCTGGATTTAACCTTAAAGTGACTCCTGCTAACCAAAGATCCATCCATCGCGAGATTATCAGCGACTGTTTATCATCCTAACATCGTGGATCCTTGGTCCTAGCCAGTTGCTACGGTCCTAGAGGAATCTTTCTTATTCGCACGAGGATGACTACGGAGTAGATGATCTCGATGACACGGTAGGTGAATTCGGACACTGAGACCACGAGGCAGAAGTGAAAAATGAAGGTACGAAAAGGAATCGCGGAGTAAGTTGACGCATTGCGGTGGGGAAATATGGGTCGGTCCCGATTATGTTTGATGCCTATGGCACCGCTGGAATCCGACAGCGAGCGAGAATGACGCGGTTGTAACTCGTATATCTCGTGTATAACTAATGCCCACGTGTATCAGCCATTCGTCTAACTTGTATATTTTTACTGATACGATGTGTATCGTCCTGCCCACTTCACCTTCGTGTTTTCCATTTAAGCGTCATACGTGTCGCTACCACTCTGCCGGCAATCGGTTCCCGAATCTTGTATCGGGACCGTGTGTATCGCTCTTCCACAGATTTATTGGATACGAAACGTATGGGCAGTGTTTGAAGGAACGGGGAACATTTGTTACGAGGCGTGTATATGATAACCGAATCTAATACTTCGACGAAGACACCTTTTGATCGCTTCTTTATTTATTTAACCACTAAATCCACTGTTCGAAACAACGAAAATGTTCAAGGTTCGCAAAAAATAGAGCTGCTCGAGCAAACAGCGAGGTAATGCGACGTGGAACGGAGGGACGAGCGCACAAAATTAACGAACGCCTCCTATAATTAGTCGCGGTCGGGCAGAAGAGGAAGCATTGTTTTGTATCGCTTTACTTTCACGGTAGGTGGTCCGAGCGACGAAGAAACGTCAAGAGGGCATCGCGATTGTCAGCGGGACGGGCTCCTCCAGCGGCTAATTGGTATTCCTCCGGCGGGAAGTGTCAGCCTTTGACTGATTCTATTTCGAGTAGGTTTCGGTGCCCTTCGAGAGTGCCACGGTGTGTTTGCATTCTGCCAGGGAATCGTGAAGCAGAAAAGTGGCTGACCAATGGCGAGTGAACAATGCGCTTCCCGTCGAGGGCCTTGAAAATCGTCTCAAGACCGGTTCTCCCACCATCCGTGGGATTTTCAAGCGACCGTTCTCGGTCTAATCGGTCACCATCATCGTTGTCCCGACGCCCGGAGAGGTCTCCACGATGTCCGCGAGCCGTCGCGACGCTGGAATGAGTTGCCTCTTCTCGCGGAACGCACCTCTCTATTTTTTCCCCTTCTGTTTCCCCGTGTGTCTACTCGATCCCTCCTCCCCCATCCAGCTTTCTTTCTTTCGTCCCTCAGCCTCTTCACGCAGGCGTGATGGCACATTCATTTTTAACGTGTCGGGACTTCGCATTTTCTCGAGTGGATTTCACGTTCCTTCCGTGCCCGCGTACGCCTCGCGCGGATATGCGCGAACGTTCACCTCCGCCACCGAATAGAAGAGCTCGGGACAGACACGGATGATGGCCATGTTATATCCAACACGGTTGTCTCGCCGTCGTCATCCATCTCGGTAAGCTGTCGTCGTAATCATCCCCTATCCTTTCCCGTTCCTACGAAACGTTTCGTTACGCTTCCCCGTTTGCTTGTTTCGCGCGAAAGAAGCCTTGGCCCCCTGGATGGACGTTATCCGATCATCGATTAGCGCGTTGCTGTTCGTTACAGGTGTTCGTTTGTCAAACATGTCTCGCCGTGACAAGCTCAGCCGAGCAGGTGAAAGTTGGAGACACGTCGTAGGCGTTTATGGAAAATAGAAAGTTCTTTTGGATTCGAAACTTTCTTATTTGTTTGACGAGACCAAATCGATGATACACTTGTTTATTGGAGGATGAGACAATCAATTTTATACACGTATTCTCGTTGTCAATGAAATTGTAACAAAACTAATTGGTTCGAGAATAATTGAACAACATGTCGAGTTGAAAGTCTGCTAAAATTCGATTCTAACCTGCCAGTGCGGCTGTCAGTGTGTTAAGTGACAGCCAGTATGTCGATTCGAGTTGTTAGGATTTGTATTCGACAACCGATATCTCAAGATTGAAATGAATGAAACGACTGTCAACGATACATATTTAGAGAAACACAAGGACAACGTACATCAATCTCGTGTCATCGATAAATTACGTAAAGGTACCGATAATCGTGACGTTGTATACCAACCATGTTCGCGCATTATCTCCGGCAGATTGTTTATGCGTCACTTGACTATGCACTAATTTATCAGCACTTTGTGTCAGTAGCCTTTTGTTGAAGGAGACAGCTATAGGAGGCTCGCTAGATAGTGGAAATTGCATACAATATATGGCACATATTACTCGCTTCCAATACTATCGTGCACAATAAATCAGTACCTGAGTTTGTGTTAACAGAAAACAAATTAATCAGAAATCGTGTTTGTAGAGAAACGTAGCAGAATCGACGATGAAATGGACGCTGTTCAAACTGATCAGCACTTCATCGACTCGCCCAGACACACATGTATTTAACGCATTTCAAGCAAAAAATACGATTGTTACACGAACGATTACAATACGACCAATAAAAAGAACCCGTTAAAAACCCTGTCCTATTAATAACGATTGCGTTGCAATTTATTGCAATATTTTTCCCTCGTGTAAAAGTGTGAATTATCGAAACGAAATACACGATGATCAGTACATAAATGTAAGTTACCTGTATTTTTTACTGACTTTACAATTTTGTTATTAGACCAGAAACTTTCTAAGTTAGTTTTATACAAATATCTTCTTCGTGGTTTTATTAAGCAAACATTGCTTCATACGCCTGTTTAAATCAGTTTCTTAAATAATCCTTGGCGATATGTCCGTCATAAATGTAAAATGAAGTGTTAAATTTTAAAGCAAATTGACTCTTTCTGACATCTATCAAGTTGGAACATAACTTTCGACCGTTCGAAGTTGTTTCAAGTATTTGATTTTGTATTTCACAATTCCGACGTCTAAAACCTATTTAATTCCTGATTACATATTTACGTATCTATATGAATTCTATTGTACACATGTAGCGATAGCGATTTTTACACCTTCCACGAGGATTATAGTTTAACTGGAAATATATTTGCGTATGCCATGTTTGCTCTGTACATTAATTTTTAGATATTCTCTGCGCACGTGAATTCCATTTAAAATGAAAGAAAAATGACTCTTTGATGGCCTTTTTAATTCACGAGCTATATTAAAAATATTTTCATCGCGTGCAAAGTGCAAAATTTTTGCAACATCTTTGCATAATTTAAAAACGTAAACTTGCATTCCACTAACGTGATGAAAAATAGAAAAAAATCTTTTCTGTCAGAACCGTTACATTTGAAAGAGTTATTTTTCGAATCCTGAAATTTTCAATAGAAACATGAAACTGGGTGAACGTTGCTTCCGGTTATTACTCGAACGGTCAAAAAACCATATCGTGAACAGTTCGTTTCCGCCAGCAGAACTTCGCCAAAACGGAAACGAACATCCTACGCGTTCGTTGCGGATTAAATCGAACATTAATCGTTGCTCGCGCGAAACGGGTCGAAGTGCAGGAATTAAGAAAAGCTGGCGTTAAAATCTGTGTCAATTATGGAAACAAATGACAGTGCGTATCTCGACGTTGCGTGCAATCTCGTCTCGACATAAACAAGCGGCCCCGCATGTCTATGAAGATATCTGTGGAGGAGGAATCTGGTATCGTTCGCTCGTCCGCGTCGTTAACGATAATTCGATAGTCGTCATCGAGCTGCTAGCTGGATCTGCTCGCGAATGGAACCGGGTTTGCGATCGAATCGCTACGTGGAGACGAGCATCGCCGATATCGACGCTTCCAGTAATGGTTATCAACTCGACTAACGAAGAGGCGAAAGAAAAATAAATGTTGAAACTCGAACGATGGGTGAGCAACTAATAACTGTCGCTGTACCACGCTATCGCGCGAGTCTGTCATTAACTATTCGCAAGGCCGTGTTTAAGTGTTACATTACAACGACTGCAATTTAACAGCTCGTTAGTTTTAGTCACGCGGTGAACGTTCGCGGGAAACTTTCTTTTTTTCGGGACCACATAACCTACTATACGTCGACACGTGTCTTGTGCAATTTCAAAATGGATATTTTTTATACTCCGGGAAGAAATGTTACGTAAGGTAGGATGTGACAATTATTTTTTGACTAACTTCCAACGACGATCGAAAGCTCGGTTTATCTTTGAAATCATCAGTGGAAAAAGGGCTATTTTTGTTTACGAAATAGGTTGTTTTATATTATTAAAATTGTCGATTATATCGGTGTCAATGAATACTGCTTTTTCCATTTCTTTTGAAATAATCTTTATGAAACTAAATATTTTTTGTAGTCCGTATTAGATAAACTTTGTAAAATAAAATATTAAACAATTTCAGTGCATAAAGGTTATCTATTACGAACTCTGACGTTTCGTAAAAAACTAAAGATGATATAAAAGTTAACATAGTCGATAAGTCGTGATTATACTTTGCACATATTGTCACTGCCGCAAATTAGGTCAATTGTTCTCGTTTTTTATGACATCAAGGTTGTTTTCAATTTCTTCGATTTTAGTGGCTTTGAATTCCTTTTTGGCAGGTTTCTAATACTGAAAGCGACATTGTTCCAAGTTTATCGATCATTCTGAATTCGCGAGAGTTAGCAGGCCGAACGATATTACGAGAAGAAACCGAATAAGCAAACAATGTTCTCCAGTAAGTTGATTATTTGACAAATTGACACGTGGAAAACGTGAATCACTCGTAATTTTTCTTCGATAGAAATGGAAATAGTGCGATTCCTGTTCGCGATAATGCTATGCATCGCGAACATGATCATCTACGGTCTAAAAGTGAACATAGCAACGACCATCGTGGGCATGGTGAAGGCTAAAAAGGATAGCGGCCAGATTGGAGATGGATCGCACGAGTGCAATTTCGACGATCAGGACACATCGCATGTCGATATAGATGGGCCGTTTGATTGGTCAACGACCGAACAGGGCTTGGTCGTCAGTATATATTTCGCTGGTTACCTCGTGGGGATGTTTCCATCCGGATATTTTGCAGATCGGTGAGCAGTAACCAGAAACAGATTTGTTTTATTTTATTCTATCACCAGGCTATAGCTAAACCCGCCAAACAAACGGAAGAGCCAGAATCCAGAATCATGGACACCTCGAGAGCATGCAGTGCCACGAATTTTAATTTTCTTTCGTGTTATAGCTTGCAAAACACTTCTAAAGTTTAAAAAAACGCACTTCGAGCTAGGGTACACCTTTAAGGATTTAATGTTCGTGAACGTTCCCGCAGCTTCAACACGAAAAACGTTTTACTGATCTGCGTGATGGCGAACGCGATCTTAACGATATTGGTACCAATGGCGGCGCACGAGCTTGTGGTCCTCTACATCGTCAGATTTTTCACGGGGCTCCTGAGCGCGGCGAATCTTCCGGTGGTGAACGTACTCGTTGGCAAATGGGTCGTTTACGAAGAGAAAAGTATGTGGGTCGGGATCATTTACGCCGGAACGTCACTCGGCACCGTCGTGTCAATCTTCACTTCCGGAATGATAATGCACAGTCTGGGATGGGAAGCCGTATTCTACATACACGGCACGCTCCCATTACTTTGGTGCGTGTTTTTTTATTGGTTCTTCGCCGACAACCCGGAAACGCAGAAATACATCACCGAGAAAGAGAGACAACTGATCGTCAACTCTTACGGCCACAGAACCCCCGAATCGGCGTCCATGAAAATTCCATGGGTAGATATATTTAAATCGGTGCCGTTTTGGGCGTTGGTCTTCACCAACACGTTTGGAAACTTCGTTTGGTACTTTTTACTCACGCAGCTGCCATTGTATATGAACAAAATACTCAGATTCGACATTAAGGCGGTAAGTCGTCAATTTAAAATGAATTTATGAATACAATTTCTAGTCCAGAATAGAACTGAGGAAATGAAGTATTCATTCTTGAGTCAGATTACACTTTAAAACGTTTATTTCGCTGTACAGAATGCTGCCCTCAGTTGCTCTCCATACCTAATTAACGCTATAATAAATCCACTGCTTGGTAAGCTGTTGGATTGGGGTAGGCAGAAGAATTATTGGACGCAAACCGTTGCTCGAAAGATCGCAGTATTTATAAGTGAGTTTAAAGGGTAAAAACAATGATATTGATAATTAACGATAATTGAACAAATAGAAGAAACGACTTTTGTTAAAAAATCCTTCGAACTAAATATTCTGTATACCCAAATGTACGATATTTATTTATTTAAGTGTTTGTTCATTTTTCAGGCTGTATCCCACCCAGCATTTGTCTAATCATAATCGCGTACATCGGTTGCGATCGCGTAGGATCCACGGTGCTAATGATATTGAGCGTAGTGTTGTGCGGAGCGATTTTCGTCGGCCATCTCACCAATCAGAATGATCTGGCACCTAATTACGCGGGGATCTTAATGGGTATCACGAATACGCCTGGAACGATTTCAGCGTTTATCTTGCCAGCTTTGGTGGGGGCACTCATGGAGCAAGGGGTAAGTTCAATCACAGTCAGCCATTTTTCAAATAATTACACAAACCTAACCAGAAATAAATATTTTTATCAATGAGTTTAAGTTAAAAAAATCTTATCTTTGAACAAAATAAATGCCACTATGAATGTCGGATGATACTTTGTATACGTTAGTTGTTTAAAACTGATAAATAAAACGTTATCGTTCGAGTCTTCCTTGTCTCTCAATTGCCATAACAAATTTGTCTTTATTTAGAATGGAAAAGCACTCGGTAACTTTCCTCGTATTTAGAATTTACTGCAACCGGTATCTACGCATTTCCTCGTATTTTCTATCAATTCGTGTAAATGGAGATTGCACACTTATATTACCTATTGTAATTTATTGCTTATTTGAGTTAATTTTATGCATTTATAATGTAGCACACTATGGAACGCTGGAGATACGTTTTCTGGATCAACATCGTTGCCCAAGTATCAGCGTTCGTGGTATATGTATTCGCTGGTTCGGGAGAAATTCAAAAATGGAATAACCCGACGACGACCGTCGAAACTTGGAATTAATCGTTCGTCTTAGAATTCGCTTCGACATTTTAATAATTGCTGACTGTAACTGTATTTTTTATGAAAATTGGTACAAAATGTTTGACCTTTGTATTAATTTTACACGAAGAAATAGCAATAAATGTGTCCTGTGCGAAATAGAGAGTGCAAACTAGTGGATACTTAATTAGCAAATTTTTAGGAACCAACATAATTTATAGCTAATAAAGTTATTTCTATACAAATTAGACATTACAAAGAAGACACATAAAATATGAAGAAGATAACGTATTATCATATATCACATGTTCCGTATGTGAAAACTATTTATTTGCGTAATATCTATAATCTACTGATGAGGAATGTAAAAATACTCGTATGCAAAATATAGTGTATATAAATACATTGTTATCTAACGTCATTGTCATGATTACGAAATAAAATTACGTGAATTCAATCAGTTCAATGTGTCACTATTGTTTACCTCACTCAGTGATTAACTGTACCTACTCTCTCGGGGAATTATGACGATAACGATTTCGTAATAGTACAATTTTATCGTGAGAAGCATTTCAACAAGAGATAACCGACTTGTGATTCCATTTTTCAAGAAAACGATACACGAGACGATATGCTCAAGCAAGAATTTCTATTCCCATCCTGTTTGCGTTAACAACAATTATATAAATGGTACAAAATTCCCCACAGACCCCATTTTTTTATAATTACAAACAACAGAGTTACTCAGGTGGCCTGTCTTGGGTTAGTTATCTATTTAAACAAGGGTTAAGAAATTCTTTAAGAGGTTTCAAGGTTACTCGCACTTTCCTCGGACTTAACGAGAGGTAAGAGGAATTGAAACTCGTAAAGTGTCCGTCGTTATAAATAATTCGTCGCAATCGTCCAGCGACATTTCTGGTGGCCCTGAAGATCTTTTGAGGCTCGTGCACGGGATATATAAAGGTCCGCCGCGCGGCCATAGTAATTAGAACCGCGAGACCACCCGTAATGATTACGGACCAGTTAAGGGCCACCTGGTACAAAAATCCGTCTTATCCCAATTAGATTGCCGCGTTGGCAGCGGCGGTCCGCAAAGCGTCTGCCAAAAGAAGCAGCAAACCCGAGACGAAAGAGTCGACTGCCGACGTTAACACGGAATATTTATGGCGGCTGAAATATTACGTTCGTAATCTATTTTCGGACCGTAGTCGCCTCGTTCTCGGTGAGCTCGTCGCTAAAAAACGGAAGGTAACCGTTAAGTCGCTTCCCTTCTCGTTTGACACGCTTCCTGCAATCGTTCCAATGAAAGACGCGTCCCGATGAAAAGCTTTGAGCCTCGTTTTTAGAAATCTCGCGTCACGAAATATACCCATCGATTTATTCCATAAATCTAGACAGGGTGTTCGACCACTACTGGTGCAAATGTTAATGGGAGATTTTCGAGAAACAAACAAACTTCGCCTCTCCCCCGAAATTACGATTCTTTCGTCGGCGTCGTTGACGGTAGCAGCGACGACCGTCGTCTCTGGCTTCCGTCTGGAACGTCATGCGAGCTCTTATTAAAGGTGGCGATTTATCGCTAGTAATAACGGTGCGGTCTGGTGGTGCTCGGCAGCGAATGTCTCCCCGGAAGGTTCCTAGGGGAACGAAGCGGGGGTTCGAGGCGTCGAAAGGTGAGGGTGTTCGTTCGCCGAGCAACGCTGCGTCTACGCGACGCATCGCTATCAGCTGGCGTTAAGCACGCGAGTCGCGGTAGATTTAACAATTCTTGACATTCTGGAGCCACGTCGTTGCTTCAGACATCGGTGAGCCCGACTGTAACGAGCTTCAGGATTGATTAACCCGCGGGTGTCGAGGAGTCGAGCAAGTCTAGTTCTGTTAGGTCTGAGCAAACGACACCGATCCCTCCCGTGAAGGATCAACGCAGCCTTAATTATGGCTGATTAATAGCGTCTTCGATGGGGATCGAGTGACGAAAAAGCCTGTTTAACCGGGTACAGCTTGTAATTTTTCGGTGGATCGGCTAATCTTCAATAAAATGTCAAGGGATGATCGATCTACGATCGACCGAGCAAAGTCTCGAATTTACTAATCATGCACTATCAAAGGAAGACAAGATCGATACGATTTTCATGCATATACAGAGGAAAAGTCAACGGCGTTTAAAAGAAGCAATCCAACTGCACAGAAAACGATTTCCTAACCACAGTTATCCATCTCTTTCTCCGTACTCCAATTTAATTAAAAAGTTCCCTGAAACTGACAGCGTGGATAATAATAAACCCCCTAACAGTAATCCGATGGTTGGCGAAAATTAATTTTACAAATATTAGTCTTTTATTCAACTCCACATCTGAAAGTCCAAAATCGATTCTAACTTAATTCCTACGCGTTTGAGTCGATCTCGATGTCAACCACAATCATTTTACCGATGGAAAATATATAACATTTAATTCCACCGAGAAAGAATATAACTGCTCGAGGTTTTAATTAAAACTGATTCAAAGACGAATATATTTTTTGTTTCTCTAGTACATTTCAACGTATCTTTAAATCCTAAATCGATCTTTATATGTTTTGTGCTTGGCGCCACTTCTTTGCATGATAAATACTTTTATGAATCGGAGCAAGTATTCATCAGGAGAAGCTAGAGTTCATTTGATAATGCATTGTGTCTTTTTATTTTAATTTATTTTAATATTTTCCAATCAGAAACGTGCAAGTGTAAATTAATTTCTATAATTCTGTTCGAGAAGTGGATTTACATTTATTCCGCACGCAATTTTTACATCGAAAGAAGCTATTAAAATGTTGGAAAGGTTTAATAGCGTAGAAAGGGGTTATCGATTGCGCGTATGTGCGGAGACAAATCTGGGTCAGTGCTATCAAAGGGCGAATTGGATGTGTAGGATAACTGGAAATGCAGCTGCTAACAGTCCGACTAGCACCAACCTTAAAGCTTTTCCACCACAAATCCCTTTCAGCCGTTAGACTGAGCTATTAAGGTCTCGACATGCCACGTGTCTGCACTTGAGAGTACATCTTATGCACGTGTGCATACATGTTCTCCCCTGTATCCAGGTGTTGCTGTATCAAATTGTCATGAATGGTTCACCCGATGATCAAGAAGTATATTCTTCTTGCATCAAGATCAGAGTAATTTAAGAAAACGGTGTTTCCTCGAGCTTGTTGCCCGTAATAACGCTTAGCGCGTCGTTAACCGTCCCAAAAGTGTGAACTGGGTCATTGAGCGAAGACTCGAGAATTGTCAAAGTATTTCCTCGCGATTCCAAGAGAGGAAAAGGCGGAAAGAGAAGACCGTAGGAAGGGAACGAGAAAAGGAGTGCGTAAGGTCGACTCGGTTCCCGGCATTCCACGGAGTCCAGCGAAGAATTTGATATGCCAGGGTTGGCGACGCGATCCTAGGCAGAAGCGGAAGCAGGAATCTCGAAACTCGGTGACCTCATTTCCAATTGACCGACTCCACCTTGGGTAGCCAGCAGACCGGCGCTGCACGCGATCTTCCTCCGGATTAGTTGTCGACGAGTTTAATATTTTAACAGATGACACCGCACACCTGACCATCCCGGGATTTATGCTCCGTTCCGTGCATCCTGTTCACCGGCCCGCACACGACGAATAATATCCCCGATACCGACAAATATCATCGAAGGAAGGATCAGTCCACATTAAACATTAACAAATCTCTAGGCACTGGAAATATCTAGCAACGCGAGAAACACGGGACTGAAGTCTCGCGGTTACAAAAGATCGAAGCCATTTTTCCAACGAATATCAAATTTTCCAAATGATACTCGTTTCAGTGGTTGAAGGGTCGAGTACTAAAATTTCGAATAGAAATTTTTTTTCAAACTAATTGGACGGCTGGGAAACCTCCGTTGTGAATGGTTTCGAATAGCGTTACAGCGTTACAGCGGCGAAACGTCAGTCTCAACAGCGGGTTCTTCCGTAGATGCATTCAACCCCGTCAGGGATTTCGAGTGCGCAACGAGGGTTCTGCGGGGAGGCTCGTTTAATCGGCGACCGTTGTTGCTGCATCGGATTTTGATTAGCGCAGCCACGTCACGTTCGTTCGTTCGTTTGTTGACGGATGAAAAAATGCGCGACGCGCGTAACTTACGGGCGTACGCGTGCACGCGTGCACCACAAAGTGCACGACGACGATTGGTCTGATTCGGTTTCCAATTGAGAGTTTGAGGTCTCCGTTTTTCGGTCCCGCTAATCGTTCTTTAATATTTTATTTTTTTTAGTTATTTTAGAAACATCGTCTGCATTTCAATTTGATTTAAAGGAAAACGCACCCCTTTCGATAGGATTGTCGGTTTCCTCTTCTCCGTCGTAATACCACTGCACGCCCCTCTCGTGGCTCCCTTGACCACCCTTTCAAACACTCCCCGCACCCTTGAAAACTGTCAGCATATTGCGCATGCATAATTGAACGTGTTCAAACAAATAACAAAGTTTTCGCATGCTGATGAGTACGCTACCGCATCCGGATTTCGGCTGCCACCGACTGGCAGTGACATATTTTCATTTGACACGTGGGGACAGCCAAACCCCGCGTGTTCCTTACGATTCCGTCAATGGCGGCGAGCAATCTTTTCACGGGGCCTATTAAATCGAGAATTTAATGGCAGACCACCAAACAAAGCAAGCGAGAAGAGACGCGAAGAAGTTTCCAATCCTCCTACACGCGTTCATCGCGAAGAAAATCTAATTTTAAGTAACAATTCCTAGCACTCTGCTCGCTGGTACAAAACGCGCGATCAATAAATGTACGTAACGTTTGAAACAGCAGTCAGTTACGAGGGAATTATTTCTAACCTATAAAGCGTTAGCTAGCACTCGAAAGGGATTTAAATTTCACGTCTGGTCTCATCCTTCGAACGATCCAATCTGGTAGCCGGACACGCGAGAAAATCTCCTGAATTTTATGAAGCATAATTACAGGGACGTGCGTATCCGGCTATTTTTTCCGGCCGGCAGGAGTGAACTTCCGGTCGAGTGATGCGATAACCGTTTACGGGCGTTGCGTGATCGCCGAAGTTCCTCCTGTTCCTTTTTCTAGCCATCAACGATGGGAAAACTTATGGGTCGCGCAGTAAAAACGATCGGTCGAGCATTCCGTTACATAATTGAACCGTCAAGGGTGAGATTTAATTAATATAGTAAAATATCCGCTCAAGATATTGACTCTGGGAGTATTTATTTTGGAACGATGTTTCAATGTCTGTGCGCGAGAATTACGGGAATATTAATATTAATATGTTTGCAAATTCGGTTGCCTAACGCGTTATTAACTTTAAAACAAAAGTTATCCTTCTTGCGGCGTCGCGGCGCTGTGCACGTAGCTCGAGCGTTACATAATGCGCGTTGAAAAGCTAAACTCCTACGTACCTACGTATGGAATACAACGTGGTATTTGCCAAACTGGCTGGCA